GGCAGACAGCGGCGTTCACACACACGTGATGCACGACAATACACAGACAATAAAAGGGGCGAGGACACCTGGGATTTCATCGCCGTATGGGTGGTCACACGCACCTCTACTTCTTCTTCTTCTTCATGCCTCCCACATGTGGAAGCACTTTATCTTCTCCCCCTGCCTCTCGGCCTCTCTTCTCCTGTGTGTGTGTGTGTGTGTGTGAGATCCACTTCACTCGAGGAAACCAAAGCTGTGAGAAGAAGATGGTCACCGATGACAATCCCCCCCCCCCATCTGCTGGCCCTTCAACGCCCAAAGGATGGGATTTGCTGTTGCACACATTGCTGGTGTTGGGGGGGTGGGGGGGGGGTTGTCATGTTGGTCATCTCAGCCCCTAAAAGTGATGAGAACACAAGACACCACAACCATCCTCATGCCTCCCAGTGTGGATCATGTGGATTAGCACTGTGCTGATTGACAGCCCCCCCCCCCTTACACAAAATGTATAACTATTACTTGTCGAGTTAAAAATTAAACAAATCCCCCCCCCTCGTTCTCTTTCTCACACTTCAAACGCGCCTTGTGGAGATCTCAGCCTCCATCTTTCATCGCGGGCGACCCCCCCGGGGGGGGGGCGAAGCGGGGAAACCCTTTATCATAATCAATTTTTATACCGCTGGCACGGGCTCCTCCCGGGCGAGCGCTGATGTCATCCGTGGGCGGGAGGGGGGGCCCCACCGAAGCCCACCCGGGGCACTGGAAGACTTCTGGCTGCCGGGGGAGGTGGGGTTTCCTGCCCCCCTCCGTCCCCTCTGCCCCTCCACCTGACAGGAGAGCACCACCACCGCTCAAGTGGCATGATGAATGTGGGGCGGCACTTTGTTGTGCATGTGTGCGTTGGTGTAAGCTGTGTGAGACAGCAGGCGCAGTTTGCTTTAAAGTTTAGATACACGCTCAAAATATACATCAAAACTTTAGTTTCTGCACTAACAAAGTGTTGTTTTGTCTTTATTTATTGTTTTAAAGTTAGATGGGAGACCGAGGTGCAGTCTTCCTTGCGTTAAGGAAAATATAAACTCATCCTCATCAACCGATAAATCAATCAGTCGATTCTGACATCACATCTGACACACAGTGCTGCAGCTCTTCCTCACAGAAACATCAGCTCAGATGTGAGCTCTGAACCCCCTCAGAGGAGGT